TAAAGCGCATCATGCTTTGTCCTTTAATATAATTTGTCCCTTGTTGGGTGGCTCCTGCAGCTGGTTTGTCAAACAGGAATTGAGTGGGTATATTTGCATATTCTTAGCTTTCTGCCATGTTTAAATCATACGATAGGATAAAATAATGCGCATTTTATATGACACCTAATGTATCTTATGAATCTCTGGAATTTGGGTGCCATATACATATAATTTAAAAAAAATCCATCTACTGATGGATATAGCAGTCACAGCTCACGGCTTAAATCCATGTAAATACCGACTTAATTCTTGTGAGTTAAGCTAAAGATAGTTAGCTACTCTGAATTAAATGTCCTGGAATATGACATTTCTTTTTTTTGTTTTTTCCTTTATGAAACAAACTGTTCAGAGGAATACAGTGAAGAGCTCTGATGGAACTAAGCCATTTCACGGTATGCTGGAATTTCCAGGAGTTCTCCCAACAAAAGTTCCAGGTGCTACTTTTTTTAGTTCTGCTGCCAGATCCATTAGCAATCCTGATACTGACTGTAGGAGACAGGCACTAGCTATCCTTTATTCATCCACTCCAAGGCATTTATCAGGTAAAAGAAGCCCACATTTCTGTGCCAAAATGTCAGTATTGCCTAGAAGTTTCAGTTCCTTACAACCTCTGGAGGACACTGGTTTTGAACCGCAGGAACTGAAAAGATCAAAAAGTGTTTCAGCTACTGGGGCCTGTCCATCATATGAAATGCCTGTTCCTTGGCATCAGAACAATCTGACTGACTATGAAGAAAGTCCCAAACTGGGCATGCAGAAACTAACACCCACAAGAAGCTGCTCTATAGCGGGGCAAATGAGAAGAATGTCCTCCTTCCAGGCTGATTACTGGGCATGTGCAATACCTGATTCTCTACCACCATCACCAGACCGTCAGTCCCCGCTTTGGAATCCTAATAAAGAATATGAGGACTTGCTTGATTATACTTACCCTTTACGGCCCAAATACAAGCTTGCCAAAAATCTCAAAGATTCCACTGTCCATGATTCTGGAATTGATCTTGATAGCCTCTCCATTTCCCCTGAGAGTACCTTGAAGTCTATGAGTATGTGGGACCAAGAACGCCAAACCAGGGAGAGCCCTACTGCACAGAGACTTTCAAGTCCTTTCTTGAAAAAGCTGGAATGCTCAGTTCCAGTTTCTCACTACAGAATATCACCCATTGGGAAAAGGTCCCTGGCAGATGGCGAAATTGGCATTTCTGGAGGGATGTCATCTAGTTTATCTCCTAGATGCCTTGAGCCACCCAATTCCCCTTTTGTAACTGAGCAAGGATGCCACAAAAATAGACATGAGTGCCTTTTGAGGAGAAAAGCTGCTAGTGGAAACTTCGTGCGCTCTACAAGTATATTGGCCTTACAGAAAGAATGTGCCAGTGATGATGAATATCTCTCCTTACCACCAAGACTCAAGGAGTTAGAGACGTTGGCACAGCAACTAACTGATCTTACACTGACTATAAAGAAACCTGAACATGGCCAGGAACAAGATGACTTTGCCTGCATCAGTGTGAATGGGCAGCAGCTTCTGCCAGAGATTCAAGGAGATAGTGATGGCAATGAGAGCCAGTGGGAATTGTATTCTGACTCTTTCCATACGTGCAGTTTCCAAGAACCTGATGAAATAGACATTCTAAGGGATCAAACCAGCAAGGACCATGAAAGTGAGCCAAGGGAAATTGCTGGCACTGATTTTCTTGAAATGAGATGCCCAGAGTTCCTTTCTATCAAGGAAGAAAAGAAGGACCATTACTCTCTTGCGCAGTGTATTAAGGTAATTTTTTTAAAATCTAAATCTGAACATCATCTCATCGTGTTAAAATTGAACATATTATGTATACTTTAAATTTTTCATTGGGGTTCATTGTCTTTGTGGAAGCTCAGACCATACTGTAAATCAGGGGTAGTCAATCTTGGCTCTTTTATGACTCGTGGACTTCAATTCCCAGAATTCCTGAGCCAGCTTAGCTGGCTCAGGAATTCTGGGAGTTGAAGTCCACGAGTCATAAAAGAGCCAAGGTTGACTACCCCTGCTGTAAATCATCAAACTGCATGAATATAGGTAGTTCAGAAGAATTAACAAACTTTTCACACTACTATAGATTATCTCACCTTGACTTCTGGGCAACATATCTTTTCTTCCTTTGAGTTTGATGTATTCTTTTGTACAAGAATTAAGACCCTGTGTTATGGCTGATTTACATTCTGTTTAAATGGAAACATTTCACTATTGAGTGTTGTGGTACTTTCTGAATCCCCAGGGATTCCAGCAAGAAAGTCAACTACTTATTAAATCCTGTGCTATTCTGTCCAGATCCCGTTCTTTTAATTTGAGGACTTTGTCCATCGATGGACTATGGAGTCTTCTATATCCTTAGCTTATCACAAATTAATATGACAGTATAATAAACAGAGCTGTGTAGGGAATCATGAAAGGCTCTTTTTTTGAAGCATACTTTCTGCCTACAGTAGTTGTACTGTATATGTATATCTACTGTATTTTGGGGCAGTATCACAGAACATTGTTGATAAATGTGCAGAGTCTCGAGAAAACTCTTGAAGTAGCTGCACTGAACTTCCAACCCCCAAGCACTTCAAAGAAGTACTTTGCTTGCACCAATACCCTTTACAGAATATTGCTTTGAATGAGTTGTCCAGTCCTGGTGATACATGACTCTCTTGTTCCCTGCCGTGAAGAATCTTGTGGTTCTCCAGTAGGATGACTGAAGAATCCACCAATGGGTTATTTCAGTCCTCCTGCCCAATCAGACTAAGTTGTCAAGTTATCACACCCCCTCTTTGCCTGGGACTTCCCAGTTTCATCTTAGTCTTTCACCCATGACAGACGTGAAACTTGACTCTCAGTGTGATTGAATAGCAGGTCAGACTAGATATTATTATTCCATTGGTGGATTCTCTTTAGAAGTTGGGGGAATTAGGGGATTATTCCCTTCCCTGGGAGAGCTGAATCCTTGTTTCTCCTTCCATTCAGGGATAGTGTAACATCCCCCTCCAGGATAAGGGGGGGTGGGTTTCTTCCCTGAATTCAGCAGCCTGCTGAATTGTTCCAAATCCTTGCCTACTGCAGTGGGGGGGGGGAGAATTTCCCTTCGTTGTAGGCAGAGGAGGGTTCTCTAGAACAGAGGTCCCCAACCCCCGGTCCATGGACCGGCACTGGGCCATGGCATACCAGCAACTGGGCCGCGCAAACAAGTGAAGCCCCATCCACTGGATGCAGGCAGCACACGAAATCATGCCCCGTCTGGTCCATGGAAAAATCTTTCTCCACAGAACCAGACCCTGGTGTTCAAAAGGTTGGGGGCCTCTGCTCTAGAAAGTTCTGACCATTTTCACTTTCTACCATTTGATCCTCATTTCTGAATTTTGAATGTATGAAGGGCAGCCAAAACTTCAATGCTTTCAACTGCAATTAGGAATCCGCTGAAGTTTCCCCATAATTTCCCATGTGGTTTTTCAGTAAGAAAAGTTCTTCACAGAAATCTAAAATAGTCCCATTTTGTGTTTTTCTTTTTAATTTCAGAGATGTTTGGATTTTACTGTTTTGAAGTATCTAAATAAGTATTTCGTAGAATTGAGCTAGCACTCTGAAGTCTTGCAAACATTATGATATTCTTGGTAAATATTCCTGTTTCCTTGCGATGGATACATACAATAATCTGTGGCAATCGTGCAGCTTAAGCCGATCAAATCCACTGGCTCCAAATTTGAATGTAGCTTAATAGTTTTTTTCTGAATTATCTATATAGATGTTTTGCTATCAGTTGGAAGAGCTCATTCGCTGGCTACATAAAATGGCTGAAGTTATTGATCACTGGGCTCCTCCCAGGCCAGACATTGAAAGTGTTAAAGCATCATTTCAAAACTACCTGGTAACTGCATTTTCTCCTTCATGAATTTCAATAGTGGGGTTCATTTTTATTACACTTGTAATACATATATATTTACGCAACTTGGGTAATATGGAGGCCTACTATTGATAACCTTTTCTTGCAGTCCTTTGTAAAAGACAGTGGAAAGATAATACTAAGTCATCACATGTATTTCTTTGCATTGGCAGAATTGATGCTTGAAAGTGGCAGTTAGAGATAGCTGTAAAATGGTATGAACTCTTATCAAAAGTATTTGGTTCGGTTAAACATTTTTAGTTAAATTCTTAATCAGCATAAACACTGAACTCTTTTAATGCCCTGTATGGAATTTGTAAGAGCCAGTTTGATGCAGTGGTTGAGGTGCCAGACTAGAGACTGGGATACTGTGAGTTCAAGTTCTGCCTTAGGCCCAAAACAGCTGGGTGACTTTCTTGGGTGAATCTTCATCTATCAGCCTAGGAAGGAGGCAAGGAGTAACCCATTCTGAAAACCTTGTCAAGAAAACAGCAAAGACCAGTCCAGGCAAGGCAGCAGGAGTCCACTGACTTGGAGGCGCGCACACACACACACACACACACACACACACAAATATATCAATCTGTTACATACTTTATTCTGGATGCTGATTCTAATTCTTAATGTGTTGTTTACCTAGAGAACATTTGTTGTTGGGCAGATTAAAATATAAACAAAATTTGCAAAAGAAATTCATTCTATCACATGAAACCACTTAGCTTTTAGCCAGTAACTGGACAAAATTACTGCTCTCTGACTATAATTTTGAAGAGATTTTCTTTCATTATGTATTGCACATATTTCTATACTAATGCAGTCAAAACAACTCTTGGTGACTTGCACAGGGAAAGAGCTGGAATAAATGAACTCCCTCATGAAACTTTAGCTACTTAAGCAAAAAGATTGCTAAAAGCATGAATTTGGCTCCCCCCCATTTTACTTAAAGGTTCCAAAGTATATACCAGTGATGGCGAACCTTTTAGAGACTGAGTGCCCAAACTGCAACCCAAAACCCACTTATGCATCGTCGGGTGCCGGGTGGATGTGGCCCATTGGGTGGGTGTGGCCCATTGGGTGGGCGTGGCTGCGGTGGTAACAGCAGACTGGGTGGGACTAAAAAGTTCAATCAATTCCAACTTTGCAAGATTTTTTTTTCCCACGAGAAGATGAAATTGACTGATTGATTGAACCTTTTTTTTTTTTTGTACACGGCGGCGGAGGCCTAAAGCGAAAAGGTTTTATAAAAGCCAGCTGAAGGCCTAGGACTGGGGCGACGGCGTGCGTGCCTACAAAGAGGGCTCTGAGTGCCGCCTCTGGCACCCGTGCCATAGGTTCGCCACCACTGGTATATACTCTCGACATATGCTCAGCATCTTTGGATAGAAATAGTAGAAACTGCGGTATAAATACACGAACACTGATTCATTATTTTCCCATTCTTTCTCTCTTCCTTTCTTTCTGTGAGCCAGGCCTGTGTTCCAGTTCAAGTGAGCTACTCATTTTATATTTTGCCTGAAGTTTACATGTTCTCCCAAATAAACATGGAATACTGTACATCAAAATGTAAACCAGTAAAGGAAGCCATGTTATAGTTCTTGAATGTCCTGCCCTTTGTACTTTAAGTTAATTCTTGTGAATGGGACCTGCTCTAGGCAACCAACCATATTACTATGATTTTTCCTACTTTGTGCATTACATTTCACATTTCTTGACAGGAACTCAAAAAAGATTTAGCTGAGCACCAAGCATTGACTGAAAGTGTGATGCATGATGGGGAAAAACTTCTTAAATGCATGTCAACAAATTCACCAGGTAAGGAATCAATCACATACAGGAGTTTGAAAATACAAGTAGTCCTCACTTAACAACTGTAATTGGGGCTGGAATTTCTGTCACTAAGCAAGTAATTGTGAAGTAGGATGTCATGTGAACATGCTACTTAGTGACAGAAATTCCAGCAGTTCCAATAGCCATCATTAAGTGAATAACCGTAAGGTTTACTAAGTAAGGATTACATATAGTCACCATTTGTGACCTCCTGCTGGCTTTCCCATTGACTTTGCCAGGAAATTAGGTTGCAAATAGTGATAATGGATGCTATGAGCTGCATTTGTTACCTGGATGCCAAGCACCTAGATTGCAATCAGGTGGCTGTAAGGAAGCTACTGATAGCCAGAACTTCAAAGACTGGTAGCACGCCTCATTCAATGCCATCATAAATTCAAACATGAATGCTGAATGAGTATCATTGTTAAGCGAGGAGCTATAAAAGGGGCCCATCCTCATTTAAGGAAAATTGTTATATATATATATATTTTTAAACACCAGGATTTCTAGTTCTCTTGTTTTAGAAATAGTGAGCCTGTAAGTGGCAATTTGGATTTAAGTCTTAGGGTGTTTGTCAGTAGGACTTACTTCTAGTAATTAGATACAGAATTTCAGTCTTAAGTTACCCAAATTTCAATAAACAGATTTGTGATATGATCTAAAACAGGGGTCTTCAAACTTGGCCCTTTTATGACTTGTGGACTTCAAACTCCCAGAATTCCTCAGCCAGCGTGCCTGGCTGAGGAATTCTGGGAGTTGAAGTCCACAAGTCATAAAAAGGCCAAGTTTGAAAACCCCTTATCTAAAACATTACACAGAAGTAAACCAAATTAAGGATACGTTCCCTTGTAATTGGGAATGTAGGAAATAGGATTATAGCTTCAGGACACATTGAAACACATATACTTTTTCTCTGAAAAGCGAACCAATTTAAGTTTGGATGATTGGGCAAACTTAAGTGTTTTCAAATTTTAATTCATTATTTGTAAAGGGTTGAATTGCAGAACATTAAAGTATTCGTGGCCATGATAGTTTAACCTGTACATTGTAGCACGTGTTTATTATGTTATTTTGATATTCCATTTTTTCCCCAAGAAGCTTAAGTTTCTTTTCCCCATTCCCTGTAATTTTATCTTACAATAATCCTTAAGGGAGAGTAAGCTGGGTAACTTCACACATCAGGTGAAGTTGAGAGAAAACATATTATGGCTTAATGTTCAGACCAGGGCCTGTCCCTTTGTAAAGGTATGGGAAAGAGGCAGAATATGTGCCGTTTCTAATCAGTGCATGATTAAACAAAGGAGCGAGATTCTGTAGCACTTGCTCTTGTAACCCCAGTGTAGGCATTTAGAAAAGCATGCTTATATCCTGCTACTCAGCTGTTGCATGGTATAATTTGTATCCTGCTCTGTGCTTAATAGTTTTACAGAAAACTCTTGGCTTGATTGCAAAACATTCGGATATGCTTAAAAGCCATGCTGAACGATTGTATGAATCTATTTTAGCAGCAATATATACTCTTGATGACGGCTTGAGGAAGCATTGCGATGTTCAAGAAACTGCGGTCCACAAAGATACATCTGAGTAAGCAAGAGGGGAAGGATGCTGGGAAGGGTAGATATTAAGTAATACATTTTTTTGTTGAAATATATCTTCCTGGATCTCATGCTAAGGCCATGTAGAATTTTCTACATTGTGAACTAGCGAAACATCAATTCTGTCCTCGACTCCTTAAAACCAAATGAATCAAAAAAGATTTAGGGTTGCCTTCCTGAATCTTGTTCCCCCAGAAATGGCGAAACAAAACAAAAGCTAAGAAGCAAACAAAAAGACTAGAACAGTGATGACGAACCTTTTAGAGACCGAGTGCCCAAACTGCAATCCAAAACCCACATGCATCATCGAGTGCTGGGTGGGTGTGGCCCATTGGGTGGGCGTGGCCCATTGGGTGGGCGTGGCTGCGGTGGTAACGGCAGACTGGGCGGGACTAAAAAGTTCAATCAATCAATTCCAACTTTGCAAGATCTTTTTTTTTTCCCTGGGAGAAGTTGAAATTGATGGATTGATTGAACCTTTTTTTGTTTTTGCACACGGCGGTGGAGGCCTAAAGTGAAAAGGTTTTATAAAACCCAGCTGAAGGCCTAGGACTGGGGCGACGGCGCGCATGCCCACAGAGAGGGCTCTGAGTGCCGCCTCTGGCACCCGTGCCATAGGTTCGCCACCACTGGACTAGAACATATCCTCTCCAGCAGCCAACACTCGGATAGGCAGGGATTAACACTAGACAAACAAAAAATTGTACTCTAATCAAGGATATACTAAGGAGAAAAACCACACCCACACCGACAGTGACTAAGACAGGGCAAACTACTGTATATAAACGGAGCAAACCCCACTCACTAGCACTTATGATGTTATCTTGTCAGGAAATGAAATGTCTGCAAATAAACAAACAAGCTCAGAGAGCACCAAGGGTTCCACAGTGAAACAACTCTCCAAATTGCACTGCTTGTGTGGCTTTGGCCACAGTGGTTAAGAATGCCAGTTGTCTAGTGAGAGTAAACTAGGCAACTACATCCGTTTTGGGCAAGTTTAGTATTAAAAAGAATATTCAACATTTCACAAAAGAGAATAAAGTGATTTAAGAATAATGAATGAAGGCACCACTGGCTTTCTCTATATTCCTTTTTTTAAAATTATTATTTTATCTTGTTGGGGGCAATAGGCTGACTCTATTAACTGCTTAGAGAGGGCTGTAAATAGGCTGTAAAGCACTGTGAAGCAGAGTATTAAGTGCTATTGCTGTTATTAAGTTAATAATATGGTGGTTAAGTGAATCTGGCTTCCTCATTGACTTTGTCCTCAGAAGTTTGCAAAAGGTGATCACATGACCCCTGTACACTGCAGTTTAATAAATACATGCCAGTTTGTTTGTTTGTATCCCGCCTTTTATTATTTTTAGACATAACTCAAGGCAGCAAACTAACCAACACATCCTCATCCTCCTATTTTCTCCACAACAACAATCCTGTGAGATGAGTTGGACTGAGAGAGAATGACTGGCCCAAGGTCGCCCAGCTGGCTTTCATGGCTAAGGCCTTAACTACTAGACTAAACTGGCTCTCCCAGTTGCCAGGTGTCCAAATTTTGATCATGTGACTAAGGGGATGTTGCAACTGTTGTGTGAGAAATGGTCATCTCACTTTTTTCAGTGCCACTGTAACTTCAAACGGTCACTAAACAAATGGTTGTAAATCCAGGACTACCCTGCAGTGCATTCAGACCTTTTGTCAATTTTGTTATGCTGCAGCCTGATTCTAGTTGTTGAAACTCATTTTTTTTCTCCTTAATTTACACTCAGTACCCCATGACAAAATGAAAACAGAATTTTAGAAATGTTATTAAAAAGAAGTATTCAGATCCTTTGCAACAACACGTGAAATTTAGCTCAGATACCTCCATTTTTCTTGATTGTTGCTGACATGTTTCTACACTTTGATTGGAGTCGACCTGTGGTAAATTAAATTGATTGGACATGATTTGGAAAGGCACACACCTCTCTATAGAAGGTCTCATAGCGGACAATGCATACTGTAGCAGAGCAAAAGCCATGAGGTCAAAGAATCTCCCTGCAATGCTCAGAGACAGGATTATTTCAAGGCACAGATATGGGGAAGGCTACAGTAAAATTTCTGGTGCACTGAAGGTTCCTGAGAACACAGTGGCCTCCATAATTCTCAAATGGAAGAAGTTTGGCACAACCAGGACTTTTCCAAGAGCTGGTCGCCCGGTGAAACTGAGCAATTGGGAGAAGGGCGTTAGTAAGAGAGGTGACCAAGAACCTGATGGTCACTCTGAGCTCCAGAGATCCTGTGTGGAGATGGACAGAGTTCCAGAAGGACAACAATCACTGCAGCTCTCCGCCGATCTGGGCTTTATGGCAGAGTGGCTAGACGGAAGCCTCTCCTTAGAGCAAAACACATGAAAGCCCGCTTGGAGTTTGCAAAACCAAGATTGAACTGTTTCGCCTCACTTCTAAATGTTGTCTGGAGGCACCGCTCATCACCTGCCCAATACCATCCCAACAGTGAAGCGTGGTGGCAGCATTATGCTGTGGGAATGTTTTTCAGCAGCAGGGAATGGGAGACTGGTCAGGGTTGAGGGAAAGCTGAATGGAGCAAAGTACAAGTATATCGTCAATGAAAACTTGTTCCACAGCGCTCAGGACCCCAGACTGGGCCGAAGGTTTACTTTCCATGACAACGATCCTAAGCACACAGCTAAGACAACACAGGAATGACTTAGGGACAACTCTGTGAATGTCCTAGAATGGCCCAGCCAGAGTGCTGACTTGAACCCTATTGAACATCTCTGGAGGGACCTGAAAATGGCTGTCCATTTTGGAAGGTCGCCATCCAATCTGAGCTTGAGAGGATTTGCAAGGAAGAATGGCAGAAAATCCCCCAATCCAGGTGTGTAAAGCTTGTGTGTCATACCCCCAAAGACTCGAGACTCTTAATTGTTGCCACAGGTGCTTCAACAAAGTACTGAGTGAAAGAGCTGAATAATTATGCCAATGTATTATTTCAGTTTTTTCTTTTTAATAAATTTACATTCATTTTAAAACTTGTTTTCCCTTTGTCATTATGGGGTACTGAGTGTAGATTAATGAGAAAAAGTGTAATTCAACAACTGTAGAATCAGGCTGCAGCATAACAAAATTGACAAAAGTGAAGGGGGTCTGAATACTTTCTGAATGCACCGTAAATTACCTTAAAATGCTGATGCAGCATTTTAAAAAACGTGTGTGCTTTTATTTATGTAGGGTATAAGTCTAATTTGAATAATTCCTCATTTCAGATAATGTATCAGTTATGTGATACTCGGTAATTTCTATTTAAAATGTGAGAATAGAAATAGAACAGCTGTTTATGATTTTATTTCAGATAAAACTTCTGTTGATGTGGACGAATGAAATAACTACATCCATAAATAATATGATGAGGCTCCCTATTCAAGAACTACTTTTCCTTCAAAATTTTGATGTGCTACAATGACATCAAACTTGGTTTCCAAGTTCAGAAGGTACAACAATGGGCTTTGTATCTGGCAACAAAGTGTTGAAGAACAGTGTGGAAGGGAAACTTCTGATGTTGGAGGTTTAATAATGCATTTCTAATTTGAATATTTATTTGCCAGGGCTCTGCATTCTTCAGAAATTATTCAGAAGTGTTTATGTGAGACACAAATTCCATTGAGCCTCAAAAAAAAGCTGCAGTTGGTTTGAAAGTCAGCTCACGAATGGACTTCTTAAAGTGGCAGCACTTCATTTTCAGATTTGTGTTGCTGCCTGAAACAAAATAGAGGCTGCTATATAAAACAGCCGAAATACTTTTTTATGGGAGATCCAAAGTGCTTCAAAATAATAATCAAAAAATGTATAGCCCTATTATTTGTTTTGTATTTTTTTCAATTAATAATTGTAAGTCTTCAGTTTATCTCATGTGACAAATTATATGGAAGCTACATTTCAAATAAAGCAACTTTATTATTTTAAAACATGCACTGGAGGTAAATGATTTCAGTAACAGTTAAATAATAGTCCATTAAAGCTGCAATTACATGACTTGTATGGTATTTGTGTAACATTCATGCTAAAGAAGTTATAAATTTTTTTTGAAAGCTTCAGGCACTGTTCACCTTTACTTACCAATCACTAGATTGTAATAGAACTTTTCTGTGTCATTGATAGATACCTTAGTTATAAATTCTTGAAGGGTGGTTCTGTTTTTATAATAAAATACACGAGACTCAGTTTGTAACAGAAAACTTGTTTAATAGTGTAGCATGAATAGACTTCCATATACCTTCTTTTGCTGCCTCCATAAGCTTTGTAGTTAGGGATACTAGCTCCTGACTGCCCTTAATCCTGAATCCATATTAGAGCTTAAAAAAGAATTCTGTGCATTCAGAGATAAAACTCTTCCTGTTCTTTACGATTGGCTAATAATAAGAGTGCTCACCATATTAATAATCAAATTCCAACTTTTGAAACTGCAATTTCCAAGCTGTATGAAGAGCAATTGATAGACTAAAAATAATGTCTCCTTCCTAAGCTGTTCAACTTTCCTTCCCACTGGAAACAAGAAGAAATGAAGTTTCTTTTAAGGGGTAGGTGAAAAATTATTTATTAAATTTGTTTGCCACCCATCTCACCACAAAGTGACTACATAGTATCAGATTTCTTAGCCTTGTTCATACAGGTAAACCTGACCGAAGGTTTACTAAATTAATGCAGTAGCCTGAGTTTGCATGCATACTGATTCACATTTTAGCCTGGCGTGATGTGCAAATAGCCTATTAGATACCTTTGTATGTTCTTAAGTGCTTCTTAGATACATAGGGTTATGAAAACACACCTCACATGCGAATAAGGCTGGATTTTAGACATTTTAAAAATATACTGGTATATCTGTTTTTGGATTTATATTTGTTTCCTTCTTCTGAATGACAGCGTTTAGCTGTAATAGTTGGAAAGAGGCTCTAGAAGACCAAAACAATGGAATCTGGGTGTGCCCTCAAGTATTGAAGTCTTAGTTTGCTCACATTAGGGCCAAGAGGTCATGAAAACTTTTCACAAAACACGAAAACGTAGAAGTCAAATATTTTCAGACATTTACAAATCAGATGTACTCTTTCCCAAATCTGTTGCCTTTTGTAGGCTTCCCAGATTTAAAAAACATACTAGAACTGACGCATAAATTGAAAAAAAAAGTATAGTCACTTTGTTCAGAATATGTTAACAAACTACTGTTTTAAAAAAAACATGGATATAGTCTAGCAAACAAATGTATTGAAATAGTATACTAAGTCGGTAGAATATTCTAAGGTCAGAACAATACACTTTATTTTAAAAAAAAGTGTGCTCAGTTAATAGCATTTAGAGTTTATTATTTTCAAGAGCTTCAGCACTTTCAACATGACCCCAAATCATCATTTAAATATTGTAGTCGATTTTCTTCTATGTAACATTTCTTTATGAATTTACAATACTAAAAGCACATTATGAATCAACTGATTAAACATTTCTCATTCTGAAGTACACTTTATTGTTGAAGTTAAAGAGCAAATTCAAAAGTTCAATAATTTCAATCTTCTAACAGTACTATGAAGAATTAAGGTATTGTGTGTTCCAGTTGCAGATCACTA